CACAGTAACACTGCCACAAACTTCATGTACTATCTTTACACCAAGTTATATTTTTGGGAATCTTATAGGGACATATTACATATTCTATGATGTACTGCACTTATTTCTTTTTGAATTCTTCTGATTATTGAATAAATGGAGGAAATACTCATTATTTGATACACAGGGAGAAAAAAAAGTAAGCAAAATATTTCAATGAGTACAATCTTGATATTGGGCTTAATTGACTGAATACTTTTCCAGTCCAAGCTCTCCCACATTTCAATACAATACACTGTGCAGGCCATCAGGAATGTCATGTTGCCCAAAGACCATAGTTCATTCAATTGATAAAATAACAGAATCATAGAATGATTTGGGCTGGAAGGGACCTTTAAAGGTCATCTCATCCAACCCTCCTGCCATGCGCAGGGACATCTTTCACTGGGTTTTTCAAAGCACAGTCCAACCTGACCTTGAACACTTCCAAGGAACTTCTCTGAGCGACTTGTCCAATCTAAATCTACCCTTTTTCAGTTTAAAAATGTTGCCCCTTGTCCTGTCATTATAGACCTTGGAAAAAGTCTAAGTCATCTAAATCCTTTAAAAAAAAATTATGAATTACTTGAGTTCAACAGCTCTACTCAACTACAGAAGCCCCAGGGGAATAAAACAAATACATATCCAACAAGTATGTATCCAAACAATATCCATTTCAAATAATTTAAAGAGATGATTCCTCACTTGAAAACTTGAGAAAAGTAAATATAATCTTTATGGATATTTTTAACAAGAAAATCCTGCTTGTTAAGTAATTGAGGTGTCAGAAAACAAAAAGCCTACATCATAAGAAAGGAAATGTGCTCATAAACTTAGAAAAGACATAACATTCTAGTAAGTAAATACTGAAGATCCACCTCTGTGCTGTTCCATAGGATACATGAATAATTATTTGCTAAAGAGCTACAGCTCTTTAGCTACTGCAACTTGTTTTTTCAGTGCTGAGTTTCAGCCACAACTCCTTTACCGGGGTTCTGCCAAAGATGGTAGCTATCGAACAAAAGAAAACTTATCTGGGCTTCTATCATTGATGTCTGTACACGCTTGGAAGTGTTTCAGATAAGAATGTAACCTGCTAATGAGTGCATAGTCCCGTTTTATGTCACTCTAGAGTTGACACGAGTTGTCAGAGCGGCAGCTTGTAAGCTGGGGTTGATCATAGCTCTTAGCTCTGCCAGTCCTTTCAGGTTGACCTTTCATGTTGAGCTGTTACACCAGCAACAGAAAACATACAAAAATGAAGAGTGTGTGGACTCTTTCATCCAATAGCTGGGTAGCTACTGCTTTTATTGATTCCCAAACCATTACCAAGAATAGGCCACCACCTAACCCACCTAATAAATGTCATTCCTAATTTTATCAATTTGTAGTGATAGCTGAAGCATTTCTGTAGTTTGCTAGCCAAACCCAGATAAGCACTAGATAGTTTTAATTTTTATTCAACTACTCGGTGGGAAGGGAAGAGTGTCACCAGGGTCTACTCATTCCACTCAGCTGTGGTCATCTACAGTTTCTTTCTGTCAGTCCCCATGGGAGGAGAAACAAGAATGCTTATGATCCTTTAATACAGTTTTGGTCTATTCTAAAAAAATTTTCAACATGGTAAAAGAATTTCATTGGCCTCTCCTGCAATTTATGTTCTCAGTAATTCAAGTTCATAGCATTTCTCAAGTCCTTGAGAAAATGAGGATTGAGAGCATAAGGAAATAAAGGAGATGGAGTGTACCTTCCTCTCTGGAGTTCCTCGCCATCTACAAGACACGTATATTTCTTAAAATGAAAAGCACACAAAGAACTTCCTGTCTGTTATAATATTTAACAGAAGACTACACTTGTACAACATAGCAGACATCTAAATATATTTAGACAACAAACCACAGCTGGGCTAGAAAAATAAACATGAAACTACAGACTTTTTAACTGCTAAATGAAAGCTAGTACTACAAATAACAATTCCTTCAGTTGGAAACTTCTAAGATCAGCTGCTCCTTGCGACCAAAATAATTATTTTTAAAAATGATTAAAATAATAATAAATAATAAAATATATCATAATAAAATAACACTGCATGGATTCAGTGTTTAGGAAGGATACAGGGTCCTTGCAACATAAAAAATGAAGTCTACTGACCAAAAAAATACAAAGTAAGTAATATCACAGCAAACCATCACACATTTTATCATGAATGTGTCTAGACCTGTAGCGACTATCCCTGGGGGATAATAATTCAATCTCCTGCATCTCAGAAGAGGCTGTGATGATATTGCTAATTAACATCCATGGTGATGATTCTCTTATGAAAACATTCATCTCTTGAGAAATGGCATTTCTAAGACAAAACCTCCAATCTATTAACATGTCTTGCCACTACCTTTCAAAGGTAACACCAGTTCGCTCAAAGATTAGCACATAAAGCATGCTATTTGAGTTACTGCTTATTTAATCTACTGAATATCTTATATATAAGTTCTTATACATAGAATCAGATTTATCTGCTGATATTTTCAGTGTCTCAAACGTCTTCCCATTATGTAAATACTATCTGCCTTGGAATTAAAGAAAAGAAAGATTTCACTTGTATGTAGTGAGATACATATATGTAATGGGAACAGAAAACATAGACATCATTTTATAGATATTTCATCTGTAAATTGTACTCTGGAATGCCTCGCTAAAATTTAAAATAAATTGGAAACTCTTTTGACTTAAGAGTAGAACTGATAATCTCTTCCACTTACTGATTGCTATTATTTGTTATTTATTTACAGCAGTATTAAGTATGCTCTAGTCTGTAAGCTCACTTGAGGAGGAGATTGCTTCTGGACAGTTTCAAAAGAAATCTCTAATCCAAGCAACGTAACAACTGGCAGGTAAACAGAAATGAAGCAATAGAGCAGATCATATGATCAGAGACAGTGCCCATAATAAAATCTTTGTTATCTATTACTATTCATATGAACACACAAAGGCAGTAGGAAGGAAGTGATAACAAAAAAAATAAATTGAATAAGAAAGGTTTATCTCACTATAACACACCTTGGATGGATGTATATAAAATTACAGCAGGCAAGAGCATCTCCCAGTTACTGGATAAGAGAGAAAGAGAGAGAGAAGGGAAGATAGCTTTGTAGACAATGACAAATTCTACCTTATACTTCTCTTCCACTCTTGGAAAATTCTCTGACCTTGCTCAAGTCTATTGTTGTGGTTTAGGCCGGATCGGCCACTGACAGATGACAGATGGTCTTCCTCACCTCTTGCTCCAAGGAGAGGAGGAAGAGACAAACAGATTTAGGAGTTTAGAAGGAACTAAACTACCTTAATGAAATATTAATAATAAAATAAAAATAAAATCATGAAATAGATGCAATATATACAAGCTCCCATGATGACTTCATCAGCAGGCACTGGGGAAGTCCCAGACTGGACTCAGTGAAAGATAGGTACTGGATTCTAGAACTGGATTCAGGAACAGAATCAAAGGCAGATGAACAGACAGAGTCCTCCTCAGATGTCAGCCATTGAAGAAAAGAGAGCTGGCCTAGTGATTCCTCAGCTTTTATCCTGAGTGTGATGCAGATGGGATGGAATACACCTGTTGGTCAGTTTTGGGCCACCTGTCACGTCTCCTCCACATGAAATATTAATAATAAAATAAAAATAAAATCATGAAATAGATGCAATATATACAAGCTCCCATGATGACTTCATCAGCAGGCACTGGGGAAGTCCCAGACTGGACTCAGTGAAAGATAGGTACTGGATTCTAGAACTGGATTCAGGAACAGAATCAAAGGCAGATGAACAGACAGAGTTCTCCTCAGATGTCAGCCATTGAAGAAAAGAGAGCTGGCCTAGTGATTCCTCAGCTTTTATCCTGAGTGTGATGCAGATGGGATGGAATACACCTGTTGGTTAGTTTTGGGCCACCTGTCACGTCTCCTCCACACAGGTGGGACTCCTCTACACTTTTCTGTTTCCTACCCTTCAATGGGGCAAATAGTGAAATCAGCTGACCTTGGTTGTTATTGGATATGTATAAGCAAGAGTCTCTCTGCATTAGCATTCTTTGGCATTAACTATAAACATAGATCTTATCACTCTGAGAAGGAACAGTTTTCTGCACAATATGCTGTTAATTTCAGAGAATTAGAAAAGGCTTAGCTAAGAAGTAAAATTGCTGAACAGAAAGTTGGTTCTGTTCTACCTCAAACCAAGACATACATACATCTGATTTCTTCCTAAAAGTCAGCTGAAGGTTTGAATACACAGTATTTTCAGCCTGCCACACTGAGGTCCATGATGTACACTTTAAAGCTCTATCCTTACCTCCATTTAAAAAAATTGTTTAAAAAAAAAGCGCTAAGCATTTATGCTTACTTCACTTCCTTACATACACTGTTCTTGATAATTGTTCAGAATTAAATTATGTAGATAATTAAGCAATAAATACTGAATTAAAAATAATGTGTAATATATAAGAAAGAACAATATATGAAAGTGAAACAATAAAGGAAAACTAATGTTTCAAATATACTACTGATTAAAAAAACCCAGGCATTATCTGCCATAAATTTAATCGCTTTCTATACCTGTGAGATATTTCAGTCTGTCAACAAAGGGCTGTTGAAAAAGTGAACAAATAAATTTCACAGTAACTGGAAATAAGAGTTGCTTCTTTTTCACATACTGTCAAAAAGAAAAAGCACACAATTGCAGTTCCTTACTGCGGTGATTGGGAATCAATTGAGATTTCAAATAGTTTAAATATTCTGCACACACATACACATGTAAATTAATACACCCAACTTGTCAACAGTAAAGCTTCAAAGGCTGTTCTTCAGAGCTACACTTACAGTCAAAGTTCTTAAAATGCCAGCTGAAACAAATGAAGTTTCATTGATTTTTAAATATCTTGAGATCTGAAGTTTTCACTTTGTCTTTTCACCAGAGAATATTCTTCAGGCAAAGTACACTGGTGATACTTCATCTTGTCCATACTTCATTGCAGATTCAAACCCTTTGAAGCTGATGTGGCCATCAGAATCCTGATCGACTTCTCTGTAAAAGAAAAGAGATTTGGTGTTTAAAACCCAAAAGACATTATGTAAAACAGACCAGTATTGTTTTGGAAGAGCTCCAGTCCTACCATTTGAATTCTATACAAAGAATGAATGAACTAAAAAATACTTTTTGTGTAGTTCATCTCATATGAAGATCTAAAATTGCTTTAAAAAGAAAAACAAGTATCAATATGTGTATTAGACAGGAGTTAAAAGTTAATTACAATATCACTTGTGCAAATTCAGCACTTTAAGCACAAATTTAGTTTGTACACCTCATTCCTAATTCTCAAAATTCATTCACCTGTGACAGAGATCCTCAAAGTTCCATAAAACATGAAACCCAATGCACCACAAACTTATATTGAAAATTTCCTGAATTGCCCCATGACCTTAAACATGCTGCAAGCAGACTCTTTTGAAACAAAGATTATGTTAACAGAACACCTAATCCTTGTGGTTGTAAGAAAAAAATGTATATGCTAAAGTGGATATTCCAATACTCAAAAAAAGTCTGTGAAAAGTAAAGCTGTTAATATTTGTTTCCATGATATAAGTTGATAGAAGATGGCAATTCGATTAACACCATTAACACACAGAGCTAGATCTTATCAAACTTTGCAAAATTATTTCATGCAGTTATAAATTAGGCTGATAAAATAGTATTCTGTAAAGTATTTGTCTTAGTTCTGCCTAGCTTTCTTACTAGAAATACACCACTTACAAAAGTTAAAATTAAATAATTCAAAAACTGATTAAGTGTTGGATCTCAGCATTCGCTCATCACCCACTTCTTTGGAACTTTCAACATCATTTGGTAGGATTCCTCTTATCTCTTGGCAATAAACAATCTGTACGAGTGCTTAACTGTGCTACAAACGAACTACTAACCTCCCATAAAGTAGACGTGGTCAGTCAAAGTTCAGGCCTTGTCCTGCAATGATGAACCTTCCATGGCCATAAACATATGAAACAACACCCTGCCACTATGGAAATATTTAAATGAAATTAATTCCTTCAGCTCATTGTTGTCTCTAGATTAAGAATAAAACATGATGGTATTCTATTGCTTCTCAGATAAGGACAAGTTTGAGATAATGATCACCCTTAATCAAGTCTTTAGGGACAACATGACAGCTGGAGATGGACTCATTTTCTTGGAGAAAGAGGTCCTCTCAAACATGATATAGTACAAAGAAATGCAAACTTGTTCCCCAGTGAAGGATGAATACAGGTCATAATTACGAAATGGAGATGCTGCTCTGGAAAGCAGTGACAGAGAAGGACCGAGGAGTCATAGACAGTAATCAAATGAAGATTATGTCCTGCTGCGATGCTTTACATAAGAGGGTGAATATGATCCTTGAATGTATAAGCAGGATAATATATAAAACAAATACAGGACTGATTTTATTGCAAAATACAGCATTAGGAAAACTATGAAATAGCGTGTCTACTTTCTGGTGCCCACATGTCAAAAACAATACTGAGGAACTTAAAAGACTTGAGAAAATAACTAATTATAAGTAATTATTAGAGTGTTGAAAAACATGCCTTATAACTAGACATTAAAATACTCTGTCTGGAGAACTGATCCAATGAAATCAAGACCACAAGTACCTCTCTATGGAAAATATTTTGAATAGTAAATATCTCATTAAGCCTACAAGGAAAGACACAATGATAGGCACAAGTTGAAGCCAAACCTGGAAAACTTATAACTTAAATAAGTTTTAAGGGTTTTTTTGGTTGTTTTGTTTTGTTGTTTTTTTAAATGAGGTTGATGAGCTATTGAGGTAACTTACCCAGAGATTTGGGAAGTGATACTTCCCTCGTTTACTCTCCTTTGGTGTATTCTCTGGTACATTCAGGACTTTCCTAAACTGTGCGTGTACGTCTGCATGTAATTATTTGTGATGTATATTTATCGCATAGATTTGTCAAATAGCTTTTTGAACCAATGTGAAGCCCATGGCTTGAACCCCTGCTCTATAATTAAGTACCACCTCTTATTGGTTTTGAAGCTGCAAGTCATTTAGTACTCCCTATAATGTAAGAACCCTTCTCAGTTACCGTATGTATCAAAGGGTGCATAAAAGGGATCTTTTTTTTAAAGATCAACCATTGAAGGATTTTCTAACAAAAAGCTTATTTTAATGACAGTAGTTATTATTATAACCTGCGCTATTTGCAAGTAAATTAATTCATTCAAAGTAAATGTACAGATTTAAATACCTGAGAGAATGCATAAAAATCAAATAGCAAAATATATTTTTTTAATATTCTGATATATTCTCAGAAGTTAATTCTGGAAGATCATGAGTGTTTTAGAAGTTAGTGCTGACAATCTGGCTAACTGAAGTTAATGGAAGTTTTGCCATTAATTTTCAGGAGGCAAGGATTTCACCTGAAGTATCCGAGTTATGGGCATAAATCAGACCTTTATATTCACTACGTGTGCCTGTTTGGAAGCTGCTCTTGAAAAATGGCCCTCAACTTTATATGGTGTTTGTTCAGCACCCTTGAAAGCCTCTAAATGACTCTTTGAATTAAGAATCACTCTGAACAACCTTTTGGCAGAGATTAGGAAGATACATTGGGGGATAAATAAATGACAAATAAACTGGTAAGTAGTTAGCTGCTGTAATCCGAAGAAACACAACATTTATTTAAATGTTATAGATTTTTGGAACCTTGCCAAAAGTAATCTGAAAGCAAGAATGGCCTTGGAGTGCTAAATTTTCATTTCCATCTAGCTGAAGCAAATGATATATTCATCCTTGTGATTATGAAAATACTATGTCACAGCATATTGATCTTTATTTCCCAGGTCAGTTTTCATTTAACACTGCTAGTAAAATACATATAGGTATTTCAAGGTTTGTAGTGCCTCAGGTAGATTGTCTGATCTTTCACTGAAAATTGAGTAATAATCAGCATCACAAGTTACTGACTGTGAGATATAAATTATTCTCTTATACAATTAGGTAATTGAAGACTCCCAAAATCACCTAAGTGTATTTTTATAGGAAACTGGATTAGATAAATGGCACTTTCCTTCTGACAGGAATATTTTAACTGTAAATCTGAGTAGAGTAAATGAATAACCTAAAAGACTAATGTTTAATATAAGTTGCCTCTTGAAGATTCATGTTTATTAATTCACTGAAATGAGTACTTATCAGAAAAGTATCCACATGCAAATACATCCTAGCCTTTTATTTTATAAATAGCTGTATATTAATCAGTCACTTAAGCTTTTTCGCAACTAACCCCACAGCAATTTACATATGGTCAGATGTCTTAGTTCCTGAGATAGAAACAAATACTGAATTTGGCCATGATATTTCTTCTTTTTGTGTGGAAAGACTCTCACATACGTACTACCTCTTAATGTAGGCACAGAATTTGAAATATACTGTGATTACCTGATTTATACCTTTTTTTTCATTCATCCACCATATCTGTCCAAAGCATGCAAAAATATATATCAAAGATTTTAATTCTACTCCACATTTCTCCAGATAATTCAGTATCTATCTACATGGTAAATCAGAGAATCAGAATTAAGCATCATTTCAATTACTTAAAAAAAGGAGCAGTGAATGCACTGCAGAGCCAGCAGGGACTGCCATTGAGTTGGCTTTCAACTAGTTGGCTCAGCAGGACAAGCCCCAAAAGATGAATAAAAGCCAGGATAAATTAGACTCTGCTCAGATCTCTGATGCCATGGCCATACATCAGGTATATGCAAGGGAAGAAGGTGGCTTAAAACTAGCTTAGATTGCTCCACTATGTAAACATCCTTAGAGGTCATTAATTATACTACTAAAGATGGATGGTCCTTCCTTTGACTTTGAAAAAACTGAAGTTAGTGCTCAGAAAGAAAGTCTTCAATTAATCTATTTTATGCAGGCAGAAATTTTCATAGAGATCAGTGGGGAGAAAACACCAGATGTATCACGTGAATGAAATACAGGAAAAGAAATATAACATATGGGATATACCACTGAGAGTGAAAACTTCAAGGTTGCTTCTCACAGCCTTCTACATGAGCAGGGGTTCACTTTCGTTATTGCTCAACCCCCCTCTCCTCCCCCTCCCAAACCAGTATTTCTTTATATAGAGATATATGTATACACACACACATATATATATCACTTTTATGATACAAATGGCTACTTTACTTCCCAAATAATTTATTGTTTAACATATGACTTAAAAACATTAATGACACATATAAGTTTGGGTAAAATAGCATTAACAGTTACCATAACTAAATATAGAAAGACTACTTTCTGTTTGCAAATAAACCTAAGTTAGAAATCTGAGGAATTTTAAATACTTGTTTCCAAACATTTTTCTTTTCCGGTTAACTAAGGTAATATGAGAAACAACAAGTTACAGAGGCCCATGCTTTCCATACACAGTTGTAATTTATCAAATGCCTACATGTGGAGACATAATACATGACATTTTATGCATTGCTACATATACATATGAGTTTTCTCAAAGCAGATGAAGATGTAATGAGATATACCATATGTATACCTAATTTATTTCGGTAACAGTCCATGAAGTAGAGTGATTTTCTTAATTGTCCATATATTTTTGTCCACACTGAAAGACTTAGCAATATTATATACTAGTCCTTCTGAATTAGAGACAAAATCATGCCAAGCACACAAAGCTGGGTCTTCAAATCATAATTTCTCTGCAATTTACATTTTCCTGGTTTTAGGACATACCAGGAATACCAGTGGTTTTCTCCTATTTATTGTAGTGATACAAATGAGATTAAGCATTCATACAGTCTTCTATCTTCAGTCTCCAAAATCTATATATATCAAGTTCCCTGCTATCTCATTATTTGGGTGTATACTGTGAGTAAAGAGAAGTTGTGCATTTGCTTTAAATTATTTCAGACAAGTGCTAAGGAGTGCAAATAATAATTAAAAATAATAATCATTATTAATAAAAAAATAATAATAAACCCCT